ATTTTTTGATTTTTATGCCATGATGCTGGTGATGAAGTATTACTTCTATCTATAGGTCTTTTGGGATTTCTTGTTTGCTGATTACTTTGAATTGGTATTGGTGTTGTTAGTAATACTATGTCAGGAGTATTTGTAAGGTCTACAGAGTTTCTTAAGCTTGATGGTTTTTTGGGGCTATGAGTATGTTGTTGAATATGTTGTTTTGAGGATCCTGATCCTCCAAATATTTGTTTTCATCCTCCTGAAGGAGATAAAGATCTTAATCTTTCAGTTATCGATAGATACCATCTTTTTTTTTCTGAAGCATCACTATCAATTGTTAGATTAGTTGATGATTTATCAGATTCTGTTGGTGATTTTGGTGGTGAACTTGGAGATCCAGGATATTGATATTCTTCTCTATATCTTGTTTTAGGTAATTCTAATCTTGGAGGTGGTGGTTTAGTTTGTATTTGTGATTGATTTTTTGATAATTGTGTTTCAATATTTTCTTCAATTATTATTTGGCATTTTGTTTCTAGCTGTGTTGCAAGCAGGTCTCTGTACTTATTTTGTATTGCTTTTCTAGCTTCTTCATTTTGTGCATTATTTGCTCCTAATAGTAATTCATTTAATACTTCTCTTTAATCCCATTCTGGCATTGCTTTGAATTGATCACTTGTTATAGTAATTGCTAGATTGGTATCTCTTTTATATTCTTCGAGCATATCGTTAATAGCTCCTCTTAATGCGAATATAGATGCATCATTTTTATTTGATATTTCATTTAGAAAATCAAATATATATTCTTTTCGTGATTTATGAGCTTTTCTATGAGTTACACCTATTACTTTTTCTTTTATTTTTAACATTTCTTCTAATTGATCGTCATCTAGTGCTGAAGTATAGTTGTAATAATGTTGAATTTGATACAATTTTGTTCGTAATTGCTCAAATTTTTCTTCAATTTTTGGATCTTTAATATCATCCCTACTTTTTAGTATTTGTTCCTAGTTTGTTAGCTTTTGTCTTATTATCGTTCTTGGTCGTATTGTTGAAGATCTACTTGGTGATCTACTTGGTATTTTTACCTTTTTACCTTTTCTATCACTTGATTCTGCTTGTGGGAATACTTCTTCTTCAAACTAATTTATAGTTTGAATTGTCTCTTCAAGCATTTTGTTGTTAAGCTGTCTTTGATCTTGTCCTTGTGGTTCTTCATTTGCTGGTCCTAGTGTTATTCTTGCTAATTGTTCTGCTAAATCTACTATCTCAAGTTCTTTATAGGTTTTTCCAAATCCTATACCTATTCCCATAGTAGGCATTACATTTCCTGAATTTTTCTGTTGGTCAATTGTATTAGATAACTATTCTCTTTTTTGATCTTCTTCTAATAGATCATTTGCATATTCTCTAAGTTTTTGTACTTCTTGTACTTGTGCCAATTGATCTTGCTATTCTATACTTGGTGTTTCTAGTATCATTACACAGACCTCTTTGTGCTGAGCTATCATTTGATAGACTTCTTGTGATATGGTGCTGGTTGGATCCATTAGGCGTGCATGCTTATCAATTCCTTTTTCAAATGTATATTCTGGTGGACTATTGTTAATATGTATTAACATTATTTCTTGTCTGTACATATATAATACATTCCTGAATTCATATACCATTTTTTCACATCCTGTAGTATAGAAATGCTGAGTATCGAAGCAAATTCCTATTTGCTTTCTTTCTTTTTTCTTGTCTTTAAATCTTAACTCTTGTTTTATACTATCCAATATATCCATGAGGTCAGCAACTGTTGCACCAAACAGTTGTTAGATGCACTGTTTTCCAATAAAATTCCTATTTTCATTGGTTGTATCTTTTCTAGTATATAGTTAACATTATCGATCACGTCTGATTGTTGTCATTTATCTTTTGTTCCTAAATGTAGGACTGCCCATCTTATATTTATTTCCTCTGCACATGCACATTCTTCTATAATTCTTTTAATTTTCCAGCTTACTTTGTTGTCTCTGTATAGTTGATCATTAATGTATAGTCCAAGTGTCGTATGTAGTACCATTTTTAATCCTATATTTCTATTTCCTTCTATTATGTCTTTATCTGCTTTTTTATTATGCATTGCCATTTTCAATGCTTCATATTTTGGAGTATTTTCTAATTCTTGATATTTTAAGAATATCTGAAAGATATTTGATTGCGTTAATACTGCTATGGATACTATTTCTGTCCATATTCTATTTGTTGTTACTCCTATAAGTTTCTTTTATTGCTTATTTAAAGAAACTTGTCATTTTAATTCTCTAATTTGCTCTTCAAAAGTTTGGAGTAATATGCTTTTAATAAACTTTTGGTTTTCTTTGGGTTTGTATTTTTCAGCTACCCAATTGATTTGGTTAGTATTGGAGTTTCCTGTTGATGGTTTTCTGATATTCTCTTTAGGTTTTCATTGTGGATATTTTTTAATAGCATGTAAATATTCTTTTAATATTTTCTTGCTAATTTTAGTATCTTTGGAGGCTTTCTTTTTGTTTTCTTTGGTTGATCCATTAGATTTTTTGTCTAATCTGATAGATTTTTTATTCAATCCGAGCTCAAATTTATTTTGTTTATCATGTTGGACGCCATCTTGAGCGTTAGCGAGAGATGCAGCCAATACATTTGACTTGCTAGTAGCTGGGGTTTATTTTCCAGACCACGTTGAGCACCATTGCAGGGTTTTTTCTTGCTTTTAAGGGGTGTATCCCTAGCCTTTCGAGCGAGGTGACTAGGTGTGACAGTTGTGGGTGTGCTTGTATTATTGTTACGTAATACTGGGATAGACTCTTCTTTTTTCAAGGTGCAAGAGGGATTTCCTAGAACAGAGTTAAGATTTAACCCTGATAACCCTTGTAATTAGTTCGGGGGAATATCTTGATATGATATTAGTTTCCCATTTATTTGAGCTATTTTATTATTTCTATTTTTTGAGATGTTCAATCTATCTTGATCTACTTCTGATAAGAGCATATAAGCTTGGTCTCCTTCAAGAATTGATATCTTAAGAGTTGCTTTAATATCTTCTACTTGGAATATTGCTTTTACTTGTCCAAGGTTTTCTATTGTTTGTCCTTCTGGTAGAATAGCAGTTGATTTCTTTGTGATGTCTATTTTTTTCAGTAATCCTAATTCTTTTGCATGTCTAATCTTATGATATTTGCACTTGCTCTTTTGTCTAGTAATACTAGTATTGGTTTGTTATTTAATAGTACAATAAATTCGTATTGCTTCTTTCCTTTTGGTCTAAAATTTTGCTATTTAGTTTCTTTTGAAAATTTGTAAGTTTTAAGAAGATAGTTGTATTCATTTTGTTCGAATACTTTCTTTATCATTTCTTTATTTGTAGATTTGGCAGAGAACTTTTGATACTTTTGATAAATAATAGAATCTTTATTAAGTATTTTAGAGTTAATATTTTTGATATTATTAATATTTTGTATTTTGGTAATACTAATAGTGTTTATGTTTTCTCTAGTGTAGCCTCTAGAAAGTTTCTTTGGGGTTTTCTCTCGAATACTAGGTGAGTCCCTTATTCGAAAGAATTAACTTTCTTCCAAATGATTTTATAAAGGTTATTTGCAGTTATAACTTCTTCATTATCAGATTCTTTAGTTTCTTCTTCAGATTCTGAATAGTATTCTTCTTCACTTTCTTCTTCATTTTCTTCGTAATGTCAGAATTTCTTTTTAGTGAATTTCTCTTTATATAGTTTTTTTTCCTTTATTGTAAAGTTTCTTTGAGAAGTTTCTTTTCTTGAATCTTCCTATTTCTATTGGTGCTGTTCTTCTTCCTATTTTCTTCCCATTCCTATGTGTTCCATTGTTTTGAGTACATCCTGGGTAAAGTTTTGAATATGGTTTTCCACATTGTGAGCAAAATCTTTTCTTTTTAAGTTTCTAATTATTTACATTGTTAAAGGAGTCTTTTTTAGTATTTGAGTAGCAATTCCTGGCAAAATGTCCTGGTTTTCCACATTTAAAGCAGTTTCCTTTAGGTTTGTCATTTTGTAAAGTATCAATATTTTTTATTGAGACTTTCTTTTGAGATCGTTCTTTTTAGTAAATTTTGCATTATTCACTTTGGTTACTTTGATGTTGGCTAATTTTTCAAAGTTGATTTTTCCACTTTGTAATATTATATGACTTTCTGCTTGGAATGCTTTTTCTCCTGCTTCCCAAAATTCTTGTAAAGTTGCCAGATTAGCATGGTGAATTGCTCTTTGTATTTCTATAGGCATCCCTGTTTTGAGATGATTATATTCTCCTGCTTTAAAATTATCATTGAATAATTATCTGGGGATTTGCATTGGTTTTTTATAAGTGCTTCTCCATGCAGAGAATGCTAATTCATCTTCCCAATTTGGTTTTACAAAGATATGCTTTAGGAATTTCTCCTGCTATACTTGTTGGACATCATTTTTGATAAATGCTTTATCTAAGATTTTTCTCCAACCTTTTTGATTATGGCTACTGCTGCTACTCCGCAGGCTATTAATACAACTGCAGCATTATTTTGTGCTTCATTATATTCATGATTACTTGCAAGAGAATATCTACTAAGGTCTGGTAGAGTATTTTTAATGTCATCTTGGTTGTTAATATTTGATCTGAACCAGTTTAAAGCTTCATCTTTGTTTCTTTATAAATGTCTAATGCTATATCAAATAGTTTGATAGATACTTTTGCCATTATCGCTCTCCATAATGAAGTATTGCAAATTACTTTTGGGTCATTTGCAGCATTTGCTATTTGATAGTTGGCATCTTGCCTTGAATATCCTTCGTCTGAGAATACTCCGAATTCAAATAATATTTTCAGTATATATGAAGAAATTGTGGTTTCTGTTTTATTTTTCCATTTGATATATTTTTTAGAGTCTCTGTTAAAAGGTTATATTGCATTTTCTAGTTCTTGAATATTTGGTATTTTAAGCTTTGTTACTATTTTTAACTAAAAATATTCTCTATAACTTATTAGTTTAAATCAATATTTGCACTGTGCTGTTTTTAACGACTTTCTAATATTATCTTTAGTTGCTCTGATTACTTGAAGTATGTCTTCTAGGATTTGTTTTTCTCCAAATAAGATGAGTATAATAATAAGGCTGCTATTTCTTCTTCTGTAATATCAATATAATAGTTTTCATCTTCTTTGTATATCCAGATTTTATTTTGGTTGTCCGTTCGAGTTTTAATTACTCTTCTTGCTGCTGGTCATTCTAGATTATTTAGTTTGTAGTATAGCCTTGGTATAACTTCTTTGATTTTTGCTTTTTCTGTATTTTGCAAGGGTTTTGGATATTTTTGAAAAAATTGGTTGAAAACTGCTTGGAAAATTATTTCTGTTTTGGGGTTAATTTACTGGTAAAGAACTTTGGTTTTAGGTTTGTTTCTTTAGAAGTTTCTTTATAAACTCTTCTGGTTCTTTATATTTTATTGCTAATTGCAATAGTTTTGGATATGATCTTGGTGCTAATTTTCTATTAATATAGGCTTCTTTGTATTCGTGAAGTACATATTTTTCAGCAATTTTTTTTACAAGTTGGCTTTTTTTTATGACTTTTGGTCTTGGTCTAATGACAGGTAGTTGCTTAGTTATTTTTTTTTCTTTGATAACAGTTATTTCTTTATATACTTCTTTAAGTGGTTCTAGAAGTGATAATACTATTTTCTTATAGTCTGATTTAATAATATACTTGTTTTATTGTAGTAATAATCTGCGGTTTTCTCAGTTATTAAGTTTTCTTGGTCTAGTTGTTATGTCAATTACTTTAACATATGACTCTGATAAGATTGATAATGCGTAGCAAATTGCTGCTGCTAATATTGCTACTTCTATAATATGTGCTGATGATAATACTATTCTGTCAAATGCTGTTACTGAGATACAAAGATTGTTTATCCACAGAGTAAAATTTGCAAATATTTTGAATATTGGTAGTGTTGATTCATTTGTTGTTTCTTGTTGGTTATCCATGGTGTTTAACTTGTTATTATATTTCTAACTTGTACTGCTAATTTGGCATTTTTCTTTTGAATGTTGTGTTCTAGATTTTTTTTTTTTTTTTTTTTCGGTATTAAGGTGACCTCTTTGGCTATAACTTTTTTATTAGAAGTTAAGTTTCAGTTACAATGAGGGTACAACTAGCCACACATACAACTTTTGGTTATCTAATTTAA